GAGATAAGCAAGAGTAATACGTGATTAGTTTTGTATCTTTACCTAGAAACAGACCATGACTTTTAATATATGATGCACAAAATACAAGCTGAAGTTCTAATCCTGCAAATGTCAGAGGAATTTTGCAGGGGTACCGCTCCAATGCAGTGTTAAATGCATACAGGATACACTGAACCTGACTGTAACTGCTATCAGGTTAACGAGGGCTGGGGTAGCAAGCCCAAATTAAACAGGATTATCATAGGCTATTTTTTTTCCTGGAAGTTTGATAAAATCTTATGCTACAAGTTTCATATAACAAAGGACAATAAGTGGCCTTGCTTCTCTCTGTTATCTGCAAATGGATGGTAGCTTATGCTTCTCAGTGGAAATTTCTACTAGCAGTTTTCAGCAATGATTCTTGATCAGCATCTGCAGTAATTCTCTGTCAGCAGTCAGTGCCCAAAATTTGATACTGAACTGTCCTGACTGCAAAGTTGCACAGCAAGTTTCTCTCCAAAAGACTGACTAATCACTCGTGAACCCGAGTAAACTCCTGACATACACACAGTGGCTGTGAGCACCACAATTTGCGTACTGCAGGACAAGCATCTGGTTTTTTGAAGTAGCCTCCCAATTGTTTTATTTGGGTCTCATTTATCTTGCCTCTTCACTTTCTTCATGACACTAATGATTTTAAAGAATATCCCCATGGTCCCTTCAGTCACTTCTTTTCCAAGCTACTTCCTACCCTTCATCATCTTTGACATTTTCCTCTGTAGCTCAGCAAATTTCACTACTCCCTGAATCAGGAGAGGGGAGCAACACAGATTTGTAGTGGCATGATGGTGCTTTTGATTTCTTTTTTTAACTCCTTCCTAATAATTCCTAATCTGTCCTGTCCTTTATTAGGCACATCTTGGCACAGAATTTGTCTTTTCATTGGATTATACAAGCTGTAACATTTTTTTCCTGAGTAGAAAGTCAGTTCATGCTTTATTTTTGTGTACAGAAAATTAGGATTGCAATCCCTTCCATGCATATTACACTGAAATTGGTCTGTACTGAACTTCATCTGCAAACTTACATCCACACTTTCAAAATAAGATTTTTTTGCAGACTCTGTGGTTCAGCCTTTGGGATTTTCATGCTCCAAATAAGTTAATACAACCAGCAAACTTGTCACATTCCCACCTATCCCTTCCTCCATCCCTTGAATGGCGTAGGCCCTGGGCAGACTTGGGGTGAAGGGTACAACCTCTTTTCACCGAGCAAACTGGCCATGACTACACAGCCCAAAGCAAACTGCTCCCACCTTGAAACTGGCCCTGCTTTAGTAAGGACTGCATCAACCAGACAACAGCTCAGCAATACCTTTAGAGAACGCCAGAAGAGTCATGACACTCAACTCCCTGGCAACAAAAGTCAGGCCTAGTCTTAGTCACTGTTTCACATTTATACCCATGTTCACTAGTCCCATTCACTAACCCTTGGCAACCAACCAACCAACCAAACAAAAATGCCCATCCTCGAGCTCTGAGTCTCCACAGAAACCCTGAAAAACGGACAGCTCATTTGTTACATTCTATTTCTGGAGCACCAAAGCAGGCCTACTCAAGGAGTTACACACAAGAGGCAACATATCAGCAACTTTCCATTTAGGTTGTTTCAAAACTCTGCAACAAGTATCACCTCCTGCCTTATACTTCATCTTCCCAATGGTTTGGTCTTATACTGTCTCTCACCGACATTTCACTTTGGAAAACTCCCTGACATGTTCTCTCCTTTAAAAAAAATAGAAAGCCTCTTGCAAAAGAATCTCTTTAAACTCTTTCTTGGTGAAGCAAGGCTCAGAGAATTTGTTTCACTCTTCCACTGACTTTATCTTCCTTGGGCACTCCTTCTACGCATGGATAACTTATCAGCAAGCTTCCTGGGTTTGATGAGCTGCAAAGAGTATATTCTAATTGTTCTCATGCCTTTAGCAGCATGACTCTTTGGCTTACCTAATTGTGTTTGACATTTTTTTATGTTCTTTTCCACCTTTCCCATCTGAAGACAAAACCTTAAGGTTTGAAAGAGGTCTTTTTACTTATACTGAGCTGATTTGCTTTGCTTGTCAGCCTGCCCAGCTTTTCTGGTATTTTTGACAGATGACATACAATTGCTTTGAGCCTTTACTATTAGTGTCTTTGAAGAATTACATGCTACTTGCAACTATTTTACACTTTTGGCTGCCTCTCACCATTTGATTAACTTCTTTCCTCCCTGTATGAAGAACTACTTTGGAAGAGTAAACACTGCCACAACAACTCTTGCCTTTGCAGCTCCTGAAACAACATTGAGTTTAAGGACATTATGACCAGTGTCATGTCAGAACTGGCTTGGATTTTGAATGCAAAATTCTGAACTTAATTCTTGCTGGCCTGTACCTTGTCCAGAGTTGTTTCCCCCAGTGTATCTGTACAAGCTACACACAGAAAGCAGGGGTTTTGGCACCTGGGCGTATTTCATGTTGGGCCATGACAAAATCTACACGGGGGCAACTGAGGCCTCTCATTAACAATCGTATTTCCTACTTTGGAGTCTCACTATGCTCCCTTAATATATGACAGCTATTGTCAACATCTAGGTTGGGCAGTCACATAGCCCTAATCTCTCTACTCTTCCTACACAGGCCTAGAACATCAAGACATGGGACCCTCTGTTACTTCCCCAAATAGTTATTTCCTCTTTAACAAAAAGTTTCCCACATTATGCATGTACAAGCTACTCAGTCTCTATGCATTCACAAAGTTTTTGATATTCCAAGTATTCTATAATGGAGATATTTTAACACCATGAAGGTGATGCACTACTTCAAGAGAGAGAGTGTCATGGCAAACCTTACAATCCTTATCCATCAGCTTTTCCCTACTGTTTGGTTTTTAAATACATATTATTATATATACAGTATATATAAGCATGTGTTTTCATTGAAGGCATACATAAACTGGCTGCAAATTCATTTACATAAAAGCCTATTCTTCTAATGTAGACTGTGTTTACTCAAAAAAAAGATTTTTATTTTCTCTTGAATCTCAGCACCGTTTTTTCTTCATAATTTTCTCAACTGTGCATTAAAACTGCCCCTAACTCCACTTGGTCCCATACATTAAAGACCTTTCTCAATGGAGAAAGGGGCCTTTAACCCCCCCCTTCCTAACAGCCTGCATGTTGCTTCTCATACCTCTTGGCTACCCATTTCCACACAGCGTGGCCTGTGATGAACAGCTCTCCTCTAGAGACTGACTTGACAGCTCCTAAAATCTGTCACTTCTGTCATCAGCAAGTAAGTGGGTAGCAGTGCTAATATATGTGCCAAACAGTAATAGTGACTGACTGCTCTACCTGCATCTGCCAACCTGCTGGGACCCCCAGCCTCAGGGAGACAACACAGGGCTCAGCAGGCTGACACCCTGCCGTGCCTGTACCTCACTGAAGAGCTGCAGTGGCACATGAAGTGATACTGTGCCTAAGGAGTTGGAGCTCTCACACCTTTCATCATTGTTTGCCAGCAAAAAGAAAGGGACTCATGAAGGAATTCCCTGGCAGCATTTTACCGACAGGGCCAAAGAAGAATACCGATACATCTGAAGGGGCTGGCGGCAAAGAAAGACTGTGCTTCAGACTGATACCATCTGCCTCACAGATCAATTCTGCTACTTTTGTGTGGCTGTCTCTGTGTTGGGGTGAATCTAAATGTTGCTGCTCCACTCTCTTTTTATGGTACTAACACAGGCATTCTGCAAAGATTGTTAAGACTTAAATAAAATAACTGTAAACTTAAACATGTTGTATTTCATCTCCAGAAACGGAGGTTTTCATTTACAACTGTTCATACCTTCAAGAAAATGCTGTCAGCAAGACCTTAGCATGGTAAGATGGGCTATAAATTACAGCCGTACACTTACCGGAAGGAAAGTCCTGCACTCCGGAATTCCTTTATCTCAGCTCTGTGTCTAAAGAATTAATGTTAAGATACAGATTCTGCTGCTTAGGAGCTCACACTAATCAAAACGAGAGTTAAAGACCTAAGTACCTCTGGGCCGAGGGATCCAACCCTTCAGGCACTTGCAAATTCGATCCCAGCCATCGCAAGACGCTGGGAATTTGACCCGGCGTACTGCGCACAAAGGAAATCCTTGTTCCTAACTTCCCTCTGGGGTTAGCCGTGCAGCGCTGGGCTCTCTGCTGCCTGCCGCGGGGCAGGACAGCGCCTGCAAGGGCGGCCGCGCCGCCGTGCCCGCACGGGAGGCCGTTCCCGCAGGGAACCGAGCGGCCGCGCCACTTCCTCCTTCCGCCGCTCCCGCGGAACCCGCCCGCGCACCGCGGCCCCTCCGCATCTGCCCCTCCGCACAGCCGCTGCCGTGCCCTCAGAGGGCGGGACCCCGGGGCTCGCCCCCGGCCCGGCGGGTGGCGGCGCTGAGGGCCGGGGGGCGGCCCCGCCCCGCCGCTTGTGTAACGGGCCCTGCGCGAGGCGGGCCGGGCCCCGCCCCTTCCCGCCCCCGGCCCGCGGCCCCTCCGCCCGCGCCGCCGCCGCTCCCTCCCCTCCCCTTCCCTTCCCTTCCCTTATCGGAGCCACCGCAGCCGCCAGACCCGCAACAAGTGCGGGGCCCCACCGCCCGGGCCCGGCCCGGCCCGGCCCGCGCCGCGGCCCTCCCGACCCAACGCCCCCGCCTTTGTCTGTGCGCCCGAGCTCCCTCCGCACCCGGGAAGCGGCGGGGACCCCCCGTCCGCTCCATCTCCGCCGCGGCCGCGTCTTCCCTTCCCCCCCGCCCCTTCTCAAATGTAGCGGCGGAATCGGGCTCGGCCCCGGTCGCTGCAGCCCGACCTTTTGTTTTTAAAACAGATGCGCATCTGCCCGGGAGCCCCCGCTGCCCCGCACACGGAAACGGCAGCAATGCGGAAAAATAAAATGAAAATTAAACACGAAGAAAAGAATAAATAGGAAAAAAAATTAGAAAATAATTCAAAATTACCTTGCCGGCCCGTTTTCGCGGCCCTTATATAATTCCTCAAGGTTACCGCCGTTGCCAGGGGACACGAAATGGAAATGAAAACAGGCGCTGAATAATCGCGGGAGCAAAACTAAAAGTTCAGTGCCTCCGCCCGGGCGGAGAGAGGGCCAGATCGAAAGCAAAACAAGGAGAGGAAGCGGCGAGGCCGCCGGCGCTTGGAAATCCCCCCGCCTCTCCGCCGGGCCGGGCCGGCCGCGCAGGCGGCGGGGGCAGGGCTGCGGCGGCGGGCGCGGAAGCGCTGAGCCCGTCACCGCCGCGCCGGGGCACGGCACGGCACAGCACAGCGCCGGGGCACGGCACGGCACGGCACAGCACAGCGCCGGGGCACGGCACAGCACAGCGCCGGGACACGACACAGCACGGCTCGGCACAGCACGGCAGAGCGCCGGGGCACGGCACGGCACAGCACAGCGCAGGGGCACAGCACAGCCCGGGGCTCCGCCACCGACCCCCGCCCGGCACCGGCTCCCGCTGATCCCCCGCCTCCCGCAACACGCGCTGGGCCCGCAGGGCTGCAGCGAGAGCTGGAGCCAGCCCCGGGGAGCGAGGAGCGAGGGAGCACTGTTCTGGGACGCACAAACACAGCGCTCAAAGCAGGTTTTCACGGAGACCAGGGAGGAATCCCTGCCGCTCAGCTCCACCAGCACGGACTGAATCGCTCCTTGCGTCTCTAGCCCCCCTGCTGAGGTGGGAGTCTTGGTTTCGGTCTGGCACACGCGCATGCCAGAGCTGTCATTGCCTTTGGAAAAGTACAATGTCGTAGTTCCACAACGAGGACAATTACAGATCAGATCCTTTGAACCCAGCGAGGCTCGAGCGGCTGGCTTACTTCAAGAGAGAGCTCTTGGATTTCAACAGATTTTACAAACTGCCTTTAGTTATGGAGTCACTGTAGAGACCAAAGCTTTCTACGGGATTTTGATAATCCCGATTCAAACTACAGTAAATAAAATTCACTGAGGTTGCAATGTGCCATTCCTAGCCCTAGCCATAAATGAGAAAGGAAAAGAGCACTTGGAGGCTGGAGGAGATATGAAATGTAGTCGTTTCAAAGGGCTGTATATGGGGACAGATAGGTGTGTACATCTCCCTCGCACACATATCTATCTATATATGTGCTGTATGCACATGCATACGAGGTATTGGGGTAGCCAATGTGTCCCTGTGCAGACACATGATGCACGGCCGGCAGCGGTGGGAGAAGTGCCGGGCCACCGGGGGTTGTGCAAGGAGTGGCACGGGGGAGTGGTTAAGGAGCTCTCCAGCTGTACAGCAGATGGAGGGGAAGCTGTTCTCCAGGTGCTGTGGGCTCTGAGGATCCTTTGTGGCAGCATCCCTGGACGTGCAGAGGACACCGAGCTAGCAATGAGATAGGGAGTCCAGCCTTGTGGGTGACAAGACCTCCTGCCGTGAAAAGGCTTTCCTTGCACTGAGAACACAATCACAAAACAAATTAGGTTGGCAGAGACCACGGATGTCAGCAATCTACCCCCTCCAAAAAAATCACTGAGGTCTAGAAGATGGCTGTGGTCCAGTGAAGTAGGAAAGATCAAGGAAGAGGAAGCAAGACATAGGGTGCCAGGCAGGACAGTAAAATCAAGTATCTCCTTCTAAACTTCTCTAGAAACATTCCCAGCAGTAAGGAGAGGTCCACATTTGTGTGGAGGGACACAGGTTCCCAGAGCAGCTGCACAAGAGAAGCAAGGAAAGTCCTACTCACATGATTGATACTCCAGATACTTCCAGAAGAGACTGATTTCCATGAAGCCACAGTGAAAGGAGAATGAGGGATATGGGACACCTGGCTCAAACTGGCATTTTGACTGAATAGATGTGCAGAAAAAGGAAATATTCAGCAAGACATGGTAGTGACAGACCACGGCTTATGTAGGAGGGTCAGACTAGGCCGTGGCTATAGGGAAAGGGGCTATGAACTCTATGACAAAAGAACAGCAAAATCAGCAAACTCCAATAACTAAAGCCAAATTTTCACAGACTGAAGGTCTAACTAGGATAACTGTAGAGTATTAGTGCCTTCTGAGCAGGTTGGAGGTGGTTACTATGGCCAGGTTGGATTACAGAGGAGTAAACTGATTGAAAATGAGAAATTTCTAACCATCTTGCTCCCACTCAGAAATAAGGTCTAACAGTTGCAATAACTCATGGAAGAATTGTTTCAGCACTCAGAAACTGTCCCAAAGCTGGTGGAAGATGGCAGGATGAAACACTAAGAACAGAATGGGGAGGGCTGCAATGCCTCCTGAGGATTGCTCTGGCCCATGTGTAACAGGAAGAGCAAAGATCCAGAGAAAAGCAACAAACATAAAGAAAAATATGGAGCCACCCTGATGTTAGAGGGACACAAGGATTTGAGTAACTGAGATTATACAGGATGGAGAAGTGATAAACAACAGAAAACAGTCAGACCAGAGAGAATAATGAGTAGAGAGGAGTAGGGGTGGATTATTTGCTTTCTTTTCTAATATAAGAACTAGAGAGCATCAAGCGAAACTAGCAGGTGTCCAATTTAAAGCAAACAGAAGGAGGTGGATCTTCATGCAGCAGGTAATTAAACAGTAGGACATCTTCCTTTGAGGTGCCAGTAGTTCTCTGGGGATCCCAAAAAAGCACCTGTACACATTCACAGAAGCAAAAAACCACCATGAGGTCTATTAAATGTAAAGACACCAACTCTGCCTCAAACAGCCCCCAAAGCCCCACATTTCTAGGGGCTAGAACCTCTTTGGTACCCTTCAAAAAGTCCTGAATAGAAATGCCTGCAGATGGTTCAGGGCAGGAATGCTACTCCAACACCTCCCTCCAAGCAAAGAGTAGAGTGACTTGGGCTGGCTTTTGCGATACTCAGTAGCTGTTATTTTTTCTAGTATGTGCTTTTAAATTGTTTGCAGAATGAGCCAGCTGTGAAAAATACTGTAGTTTATGTATCAGTAAATATTGTGTAGAAAAAATACCATCATTTTAATACTTTGATGTCTCATTCAGAGGACACTATTCATTAAGTGGCATTGCTATGGATTACATGAGTTGGTTTTGGTCACAGGAAACAGTGGGCTTCCCTGAGAAGCACTGGCCAAGCCATTGAGCAGAATTTGCAGCTTGCCCTTGCCATTGCCTCCTACCACCTTCACCTGATCTCAGTGGAGCACATTCAAGGACCTTGATGCATTCTGTGTATTGACAAAGGTCTTTCCCTACACAGCTCCTGGCACTAAAAAATCAGAAGTTATACCAGAAGTTAAATCTTCTGTTGTGATTCCTTTTTTTAATGCTGAAAAGTAATGGGAATGGGCAGCTTTAGTTTTCTAAACTTTCAGCAGTGACTCATTCTCTCCAAAAAGAGACTTTAACCTCTTGTGACTTTACTGTTTCAGTGAGATATGGCAGCTTTAAAATCAGAGAATTTAACCCAGAAGCATCACATATCCACTGCCTTTCCCCTGCAGAACTGCCAGAGTTTGCGACTTATTCTTTTAACCACCTTCTTTAGGGATCTGGCTACTGGAATTAGTTGCTTCCATTAGCATCCTGCCTTTCCTTCACAAATAAGTCTCTTTTTCTAGCCTGGAGTTCATTTCTGTGAGAAAAAACTTCAGACTGGGAATCCCTTAAGTTCCAGAAGGTAAATAAATATGCAATATGCCAGCCATTTTGGTGTGTATTTTTTTAGTTTGTATTTGTTTTGTTTTCTTTGGTTGTTTTGTTTTGTAAGTTTAATAATGTTTTTGAAAAGTTAAATAACATTTATTACATCTTCCCTTTTTGCTGCTTTTCTTGTGGGTTTTACCCTGTCTTTATGTGGAGCTGACTATACCATCATTTTGGTTCTTAAAATCACTGTCACAGGCATTGGGACTATTCGTATGTAGAATTGGAGAAGATGAATTTTCTCATGGAGCTGGGACTCAAGCTTACCTACCCACCTACAGCTGACCTGTTTATTTTTCTGTTACATTAAAGTGGGAAAGTTAACTTATGTTACAGGCCAGTATCAAGAAAATAAATAAATTGCAAGAGTCATAATTCTTACTTTAATAATATTACCCACATCTTCCTGAGTGCCTACATCCATTTTTAAACATGATGCACAGTTAAATTTATTTTCAGTTTTAATTTGTCCTGTGAAAAATATTCCGATGCTGATGTAACCTTTTGCACTGACATTTTTAGATACTAGATAGTAATGACACCTTTTTACTAAAAAAGCAAAAAATAGACAAACAAAAAAGCCATGAGATTTTTAGGGCTAAGAAGTTTAAGTATTTGCATATTACTGTAACACAAATAATCACTCGAAGTATGATGGAAAAGTGTGGACTAACCTTTTAAGAAGTTCTAATTAATTTGTCCTCTGATATCAGTTTCACTTGTTGGAGGGTTGGTTGTTTGGGATTTTTTGTTTCATTTACTTTGTGTGTATACTGTTGTGAATAAAAGGCTTTGGTGTTTCTGCAGTGTTCTAAAAGTATTTATGCTCATGTTAAAATTCACAGAAACTAAGGCTTGTTGCTAGAACCCTGGAGATACAGCTAAGTCTCTTACCCAGCCTCTGGAGGGAAAAAAAAAATAACTCACTTCAGTCCCAATTGTGCAAATAGGCCCTTAAATACAAGGACATGAGCAATTCCTCTGGAGTACAGCGAGAGCCTTAGCGCATCTGAAGTTAATGTGCCCCCAGGAGTGTGGATGGGGAGAGCCACCCACCCCTCCTTCTTTGCTTCATTTAATCCAGGTTCCTCAACTCAAACTTTTTGTGGTGTTTCCCCCCCTTTTCGCTCCACTCTAATGGCTGCAGGAAAGAGTGCAGCCCGCTGGGGCTGCTCCCGGGGATGCCGTTCCCGGCAGGGCGCGGCTGAGCCCCGCTGGCCGGCTGCAGCAGGGAGCCGCGGGGCAGCGGGACTGAGCGCCGGCAGCACCGCCCCGGGGCTGCTCACACGGCACAAAGGGAATTCCCTGCACGCCTTTCGCAGCAGATCCATCCTGGGATATTTCCTTTGGTTTTTGGTTGGGCTGCGCCAGCAGGGACACCTACCTACGAGTACCTACGAGTACTTCTCAGCTCTGTATTCCGGCTGTGCTGTTCTTCTGATTGCTAAGAAATGAGATGGTGGGAGTGTGGCTTTGTTTTTATTGGTAATAATTACAGAAAACTGTTCCAGATGGAAAAATCTATTTGCTCAGACCAGATCTCTAAAGAGTAGCTTCTCTAAACTGCAAAGTAAAACTTTTACATTGCAATTCAAAGCCTCTTGTACTTTCAGGAAAGCTAAGTGTCTTCACAAAGGTGAAGGTGTTGTTCTATCCAGCCCTTAGCAAATTTGTTCACAAAGGGCCAAGAGATGAAACAATAACCTGTGACAGACATTATTCTACTAAGAAATGTTATGCCTTCCCAATCATATTGTCTTGTTGCATCCAGGTGCTGCAGGAGGACAGGTAACTGGGAAAAGCCAGTCTCCTGAGCCCAAACCAAACACATGACGTAGCAGAACACTATTGAGGACTAGAGAGCCTGTTCATTTTACTTGTCACTGCTTTTATTTGGCTGCAGCACTTCAGCCCATGGCTCTGCCAGGTCAGCTGCTGTACACAATTCCCTTTATTTAATAGGAGAGAAGAAAGGGAACCAGGAATTTGCTTAACAGCACTGTGAGATAGTTTTGGTTACTCACATCTCTTGACCCACAAAGCAAAATTTAGGGACAAAAGAAGTCATTTAAAAACACATACAGCATGTTGACATTTCAGGGCTGGAGAGGAGTTTGGCAGAGAAAGCCTGGATGGGAGGCAGGCCTCTTCAGCAGATCACACCTGAAAGTGATCCTGCTTAGCCCTGCTGCAATAGAGTGTTTCACAGAAGTGGAAGCTTTTATGGCAATTTTCCCAGTGAAACTGAGGTAGAATACAAAGAAAAGTGATATGTTGCCTATTGGCTTGACAAAGCAGAATAAATATGTTTCTTCAGGATAATAATCAGGTATTAGGAGCTTTGCTTCATGTTACGTATGAACACATCCTTTGATTTATTAATTCAAAACTTATTTATTGTTAGAAATAGCTCGATTCTCTTTGTAGAGGGGAAAGACACTTTTCTCTTTTCACCTTCCTGTTTGTAGTGGATTTTCATATTAAAAGAAGACTTTCCAGAGATATCAGTTGCAGAAATGTTCACCAGGCACATTGCCCCATCAATCACTTTCCCAAAGAGATTATATTCTTCCTTAAATCCTGCCATGGTCCCATGGCTTTGTGGGGAGAAAAGTTCCACCCCATGATGGGCGTGCTTTCTTCCCCTACAAAACTGGAGGACGGGAGGACAAAGGGAGCCAACCCACTCATTGGACTTACCCCAGACTCTGCTGGGCACCCCCTGACTTGGACAGGTTTGTTCATGTTTGCCCACATGGACAAAGCAGCATCCCAACTCCCATCCCCACTTGTCATGGTCCATGCCACTGCACCCCTTTGCTGGGCGATGGGGGCTGTCAGGGACCATTGCCCATGTCAGAAGGAGAGGCAAGAGGTGCTGGGATGTGGCCACCTCACTGATCTCTCAATGGTGAGGGAGGCATAGGGGTGTCAAAAAGGGGGGTCCTCCTCAGGAGGTTTCCTGCTGACAAAACAGGAAATTCTCTGTGTGCCCCCCAGCTTGTCTGACCCTGCAGCAGCCTCTTAACTTTGGGGGGCTATTTAAATACAGCTCCAGCCTTTCCTCCTTGGTGCACTCTCCAGCTCATACTGCAACACCACCCAACCACAGAAAGAGAGAAAAAAGAGGGACCCAGTTACAAGCAGTTAATTTAAGGCTTTTCTATCTGAAGTTAAAATGGTCGCTACAAGTTACAAATCTGTTTCCAACTCACCACTCTCTTTAAAGCTTTGGCTCTTTTACCTTTCCTAATCAGTGTTTAATTATTAACAAAAGAGTAATTTTTGGATAACAAGTCCTGTCTGCTGACTGCCTTCATGTATGTGGCCTGGCAACACTGATCTCCAGAGTGCTTCTCCATACCCTCTGCACATCCAACTGACCATCCTCTCAAAGCAAGAGCAGATGTAGCATCTTTTGGATGCACTGTACTAGCTGAAGCTGAGCTCCTCTGCTGCACCTTCAGTGTTGGCTTGTCAAGTCCAGCAAGTTAATTTTCTGAAAGGCAGCAGCTGGCCCTGCTGAGCTGTTTCTGGAGTGCAGCTCATCCATGACTCATGTCTCCTGCAGCCCATCTTGCTGCACTTCTTTTTTGACAAGTCATTTCTGCCACTCTGGCCGTTGCCCTGCTCTCAGGTTTGCTAAGCCCACATAACCGAGGCTTTCAGAAGTGAGTGGATAAACAGTGTCAGGGTCTGAATACAAAACCTTTCATGGCACAGTAAAAGCTGACATCAATTTTAAGTAATCTATTCCCAGAATCTTCCATTGCTACTCAATGGAAGCATCTTGTCAGAATCTTGCCGTCAAGATACATTGGTATCTTGAGAGGGTTACAGGGGCATTTTGTGGCATATTTTTGAGAAAACTGCCTTGAGTTCTGCAGAGAACTGCTGTAATGCAGCTGGGAAAATGCTGAGTTGGTATCCGAGTGCAAGGGATCTCAAAACCATGGACAGGACTGCTTTATCACTTTAAAAGAAAGAGGTCATGGGAGGGTAGGGTGGAGGAAAACTCCTGCCTATTAATAGAGAACATGAGTAGGAGCTTTATTTTGAAAGGCTTCTTTAATTAGTGACATGCAATACAGAAGCAAGGCTCATGATGCACTCTACCTGCTGACTTCCCAAGCGCAGATCAGAGAGAGGCAGACAGATAAAAGACCATTGCCATGCAGGGGAGTTTTGAATAGGCCAAGATAAAATGCCCAAATTAAAAAATAACCAGGACATCAATCAGCCTTGATCTTCAGAGGGACTGTCTCTTAAGGTAGGCTAGTGGAGTCAGTGCCAGCTCAGACTCAGGAAATTTAAGTTGCCTTCCCAGTCTTACCTGTCTGCTGTGAGTTTTCCTCATTACCTTTATTTCTCTCAGACTATGTGGACGATAAGTTCCCAGAGATAACAGCTGTCTCTTCTTACTCAGTGTTACAGTATCTTATACAAAAGTGTCTGTCTCAGGAGCCCTGCTCTCCTGCCGTGCTACAAGAAATAATGTTGCTTTGTATGGTGGTTCTCCAGTAGCACAGTTAATTTGTGCTTGTGTTTTTAGAATTTCAAATAAACCAACAACAATCATAAGCAACAATTTAGGCAATTTAAACCTAGGAGAAGGGTTGCTTCCTTAGCTCTGTAAGTCATGGCATGACACCTGGACCCATGAACCCAACTGGATTTCAGTAGTACATTATGATAGTGGGACTGCTTTGAAAAACATAACTCAGGTGCTTGTGGTCACTGTTTGCACCTTGCTTTCAGTAATTACATGTGGGGTGGCAAATCCTCCTTCTCAAGAAAGGAGTACTCCACAGGTGTGCATGTTATGATGCTTATAAGCAGTGACCAACCCTGCAGGAAAGTTTTAGTATGCAGATACCAAAAGGAGAGGCAAGAGTGAACAGCCACCAGGCTGAGGCAGAGTTCCTTCTTTCATAGTAAGGTAGTTCCATGGGAATGCTGACTCACCTGCTCCCTGTATAATAGAGTTGGAGAAAAAAAGCAATTATGTATGATTTCAACGCCTTTCTTTTCCTCCCGCACTGCCATTTCACTTGTGGAGTGGATCTGGCTGAAGAGCCAAGAGTTCTCTTTATGGGAAAGCCTTATAAAATATACCTTGGGCTGGATTCGTAAAAGTCTGATAAGCAGGTGTTAATAGTTCCCAATCAGCTTCAAAGAAAGGGTAGTGTTTCACTGCTTGGCAAGCCAAATCTTAATGCACATAAACCTGTTGTAAATAGTTTGTGGAGTAGTTACAGAGAACATTTACACAAAAGCTGTTAGAAGATCTGCTGGTAGTGTCTGTGCAGACTTCCCCACTCTTTTCCAACTGAACTGCACATTTAAGGTTTTCATCACATTCTCTCCCCTTTCTTCCCAACCTGGGGAATCTTGTTCTTCTTGAAAGAAGAGCATTTCAGCTCATCTGCAAGTACTTGCTCATCTGCTGGTACTGGTTCATCACCAGTTGTCCAAAGCAGTGTGACTTTTAGCACCTGGCACTCTCAGCAACATTATTTCACTTCACCAGTTGAGAAGTCACAGCCTGTCCAGTCAAAGACTTCTCTTCCTTGGCCAGAGCCAAATACCAGTGCATTAAATGGTTTCATGTGCAAAAGGGAGGAGACATGGAAGATATCTCTGAGAAGAGCTTCACTACATGGCCTATCATCACATCTGATTACTCATGTCAAGAACTTCAGCTATACTGTTGCTTTCCTGTCCCTCAACCTGACAGCACAGCTGAACTATAACACCAAAAAAAGCCCATCAAGATGCACTAT